TGAAAGCCTACGACTTCACAAGCAATAATGTATTAGGAGATATGAGCAACAATATAAAAAGTATACACATTTCCATGCAATCTTTTAAAAATTTGGATGAACTGAATTTCAGATTGTAAAAATTATCAGTATTCAGGATGAACTCAATGTAAGATTGGGGAAAACTTAAAACTGATCAAAAGACTGGCAGACAAAAAAAAACTGCAAGTGACAGATCTGTCAGTCCCTACACACTACTTTGGATTTTTTTGGCAATATTTTGTGTTGTCCTGTGTCTTCCCTACTGATAGGAGCCTGGGGAGAACACCTATGTATGGCATTCCATAATACTAATATTTATACACTTTTTTAAAAATTAATTAATTAATTAATTAATTAATTAATATTAGCAAATGGTTAGGGATGCAAAACCTCTAATATTTTCTTATTGCATACATTTTGGAGTTGTCCCATAATAGCTAATTTGGAAGGAAGTAATCACACAAGTAAATTTGGTAAAGGAAAGTTCTTTGATATTCAGGGAAGTGTGTGTTCTTTTGATTTATTTACCTGTTTTTGGAAATTAACAAATGGCCAATGCAAGTGGATTTTGTGAACCCTTTTGACTGCTAAAAGATTAATACAGTCTTCCCACCCCAACTGTGAGCTTGCCATCCATGGATCTGAGCATTTATGGATGGCCCTACACCATTCACCCCAATGGCAGCATATGCATGCTGCACCACCCTTACAACCAACAGAACTTGAGCTCCTGCAGTTTCTGGCATCTGTGGAGTGGCGGAATCCAGAATAGAACCCCAGTTAACATGAAGGGCTGAGTGTACTTCATTACTGGAAGTAACATTATTGGAAGTACTGTGATCCAATGGATAGAAGCTCTAACAATGGGCCTTTGCAGACTGCCAGAAATAGTGCAAATTGAGTCCACTTTAAGGGTTAGGGCAGGGGTAGGCAACCTTTTTGAGCCGGGGGCCGGGTTGCTGTCCCTCAGACAATTTGGGGGCCAAAGCACCAAAAATAAATAAATAAATAAATAATTTTTTTAAAAAATTTAAAAATTTTAAAAATTTAAAAATATATGCATGCACACTCTGCCAGCCCCAGAAAAGCCATGGCAAAACCCCTGTGGAGATTTTGCCAAGAAAAACCCAAGAACAAGTAATAACAACAATAATCAATATCATCATGGCGGGCGGGGGGGTGACGGCGGCGGCGGCAGGACCGGCTTGGGGCCGGTCCAAAAGCCTCAGTGGGCCGCATCCGGCCCCCGGGCCTTAGGTTGCCTACCCCTGGGTTAGGGTTAGTGCTAGGGAATCATGGGAACTGTGTTGTTTTTTTCTGAGACATTGAGCCTTCTCTGTCAGACAGCTCTGGTGCCACAATAAAATACAGTTCCCATGATTCCCTAACCCTAACCCTTAAAGTGGACTGAATTTGCACTATTTCTAGCAATCTGCAAAGGCCCAATGTTTGCAACATTTGAAAGAATGATGTACAGTTTAAATTTACACATTGAATTATATATGAACTTCTGCCTGGCTTTTATAGAAACATGTGATTACGTGGTTACTTTTTGCCTTTTTATTTTCCTGCTTTAGTTATACAAGAGCATTATTGTAACTGTTAGTATGTTAGTATGTAACTAAGAACATACACACATAAATGTGTTTTAAATACAAATAAAATATTTTTAAAATTAATCAATTTAATAGCAACCCCCTGAAAAGACTACAGAGTGGATGCACTTTGTTCCAAGTTCGTGGATCCTATCAATATATAAATCAATATATAAATCCTTTGCAACAACTGCAAAGGAACTTGAAAATGAGAATGCTGGAGTCTTAATAGCCCTTTGTCTGATGACATTTACTCTAGTAATATTTTGCAGTGTTTTGTTTTGTTTTGTAATGTTTTGAGTTCTTTCTGATGATGAAAAAAAGCAGTATATTGAAGCTTTGCATATGGCTTGGTGTTAGGAAAGATATGTCCTTCTCATCTTGATACTAATATATCACAATCCATTAGGTTAGTTTGGCTGGGAATGACATACTGAAGTGCTTGGCATCATCACTCAGATCAGGTAACTCAGCCACAACTATTAATAAGATTGACGGAGAAGTGAGATATCTGAGCCTAATAAATCTCTGACAGTGTTTTTGAGGCAAACCCTATATAAACACTCAGATGCAGGCAATATAGTGTTTGCAAATGCAAATTTCCATATATAATATATAATATATTCCATATATAATCTCCCCTGTTAAGTGCAGTTGAAGCAAAGCCAACAAACAGTCCCATTTGGCATCAGGTTCAGTCTGATGGGATGATAAAGGGTAAATGCTTCAGACAGCTTTATGAAAACCTTCATTATAGAGCTTCTGGCAATGGGAAGAAAATCAAAGGGTTTTATTAGGTGAATGAAAAAAAAATGAACGCCAAATATTAGAAACATTGCCAGATTAGTCCTGGTGGTGCATAAAGAAGGAATTCAATCTTTCTTTACATAAAAGATGGAGTCAAGTGTTCATAAAAATCTCCCACTTAATATTAGTCTGAATCTTAAAATGTTACTAAGAGTATATGTGTGCCTAAGGATGTCTCATTCCTCCCTTTTTTTAAAAAAAAATTACATATATCTTCAAAACGTGTCCTCCAAGCACAGGATCAGGTTGTGGCAGAGAAAGGGAACTGGTTGTGAGCAGAGTTAAAGGCAGTTCTTCCACCTAGGCAGCTCCAAGAACAAATTGCCCTAGCAAGGATTTAGGCAAATATTATGTTCTAGAATGAGCCGCCAGAGACCATAGAGAAAGGAGACCCTGTTCAGCTCAGCTCAGCACAGTATAACATCCATTCCTCTTTGAATGCAACCTGCTCTGCTGCTGCCAAATAAAATGTGATCTGGATGCTTAAGAGAAAGTGGTAATTAAAAACAAATATTTTGCTGGGTTAGATTGGCGCTTTGCCCAATGTGTTGCTGTGCCACAATACTCATTATCCCTGGACATAGGCAGTTGGGGATGATGGCAGTCCAATAACAGCCTGGGAACCAAACTTGGGAAAGCCTGGGTTAAACAAAAGTGCAGTGCTCACAAACAGCAAGTGAGCAATAAACCCTGAGATGGAACTATATCCTTTCCGCAGAGACTGCAAAAATTTAAATGCAGTTAGCCCTTCATATCCACAGATTCCTTATCCATGGATTCAACTATCCAAGGCTTGAAAAGACTTTAAAAATATATAAATTCCAAATAGCAAATCTTGATTTTGCCATTTAATGTAAGGGACACCATTTTACTATGCCATTGTATGTAATGGGATATAAACATCAATGGATTTGGGTATTCACAAGGGATCCTGGAATCAAACCCCAGCAGATACCAAGTGTATACTGTAGATCTTCAGAATAGCTGTGGGTATTTCACAGATTTACAGTCCCTAAGGCAAAGGCAAGGTAATTGCATACAATAGTTATATGAAGAATTGTTTGGCTGGGGGCAAAATATCTACATGTGATATCTTTAGATACCCTTTAGAAATAAAGGGTGTATCCACCCTGCAGAAATAAAGCAGTTTGACACCACTTTAACTACCATGTTGCTATCCTACAGAGCCCTGAGATTTGTAGTTTGGTGAGGCAGCAGAACTATCTGACATATCAGACTGAATATCTCACCAAACTACAAATCCCAGAACTCCATAGGATGGAGCTATGGCACTTAAAATGATGTCAAACTGCTTTATTTCTGCAGAGTGGAAGAGCTGTAAGATGTCTTAGGGGGGTTGCAGACTGCCAAAAATAGTGTGAATTCAGTCCACTTTTAGGGTTAGGGTTAGTGCTAGGGAATCATGGGAATTGTTTTTTTTTCTGAGACATTGAGCTTTCTTTGTCAGAGAACTCTAGTGCCACAATAAAATTCAGTTCCCATGATTCCCTAACCTTAACCCTAACCCTAAAAGTGGACTGAATTCACACTATTTCTGGCAGTCTGCAACCCCAGATAATCAATTCATTACAGACTTGGCCACAGTGGTGTATTGGAGCAAGGGTTAAAATGCTAGGATTTTTATTTTATTTTATTGATATAAGAAGAGACAATAATTTCAGCCACGCAACCCCCTCAAACATATTTATTATCTCTGAAATTACTTGCAGTCCTCCTATCACACAACCTGAGAGATGGATCTTCCCAGCAAAAACATTATTGTTGTGAGTTATCCCTGATTATACACACATACACACACACAATGTATGAGACTGTCATGTGCTGGGATTTTTAAAATATTCAAAAAAATTGTAAAATATGAATTTCTCAAATTCCAGGAAACACATAAGAGAAGAATCCTAGACAGGCAAGAATAATTGCAGCTCAAGGCTTATTCTGCACTAAAAATGCAATTATTTTTTACTGGAGGAAAGGGTATTTTCAACACAGAAAATTAGTTCATTACATAGAAAAAAGTATTTTCTACACAGAAAATACTTTTTCTGTGAAAAAAAATAGTTTTCTATGCAGGAAACTTTTTAGCTGGGGAAAAATATTGTTTCAGTACAGAAAATACTGTTTTCTGCTTTGAAAATGATTTTTTTCTCTGTGAGGAAAAACCTGTTTGCATTTGAGGCTGTGTACAGAATAAATCTTGAACTGTGAATAATTTTCAACAAGTGCCCTATTTTCAAAAACTTTCTCATTGAAGAAGGAAAGGGTAAAATTATTTATTTTTGCCTGATAGAACAAAGTTACAAAGATTTACGGTATATCTCTAGCTGAATGCCTGCATATCAAAATTCAGATGACAGCATTGCTTAGCCATGCATTTTTTTGTGTGTGTGTTTGTGCTTGTGTTTGTGTGTCTTCAAGTCATTTCCAACTTATGGTGATCCTAAGATGAACCTATTATGTGGTTTTCTTGGCAAGATTTGTTGAGAAGGGTTTTTGTCTTTTTTTCTTCTCTGAGGTTAAGAGAGTGTGACTTGTTCAAGGTCACCCAATGAGTTTCCATGGCTGAGCAAGGATTTGAACCTTGGCCTCTGGTATCATAGTCCAATATTCATACCACTGCTCCGTACTGGCTCTAATTTCAATGCAACCTATTTCCTGCCAGTTTCAATTCAACTTATTCCCAAGCAAAGACCCTCATGAATTCAGCCTCAGTCAGATGTTTGATTTGCAATTTGGTCCTGTAAATGTTTACTCAGAATCAAATCATGTTAAGTCCAATTGGTTTTATTAGGCATACAATTCTAGTCTCAGTGACTGGTACTTTAATTTCCATATTTATTCTGTCTTTGTACGCACAGACACACCAATTTAAATACTGGGTGCACCTAGGTTTTGCAGTGTTTTTTTACGTGTTCTGCTTTTCTGTAGGCGTCACTGTGACATTGTAAATAGTGCAAAAAGGAGTACCATGCATAGCAAAAGAATATACTCAGATTTCTGATCAGTTGTCATCATCTTCTATAACAGCAAATCATACCTTTTAAAAAGTGTTACTTTTTTTTGAATGACTAACAATGATGGTTATATATCTATTTGAAATTTGAGAAACATACTAAGAAATATATATATATATACACCCCTCGCTGCTGCTATCCAAAATGCTTTCTTTTGGTCATTAGCTGAAGATTTGTAATGTGTGTGGAATGTTCATAACTATTCTAATTATGGAAAGGGCTGTGGACAGATTTTTGACACCAGTTTTGCTGTTAGAAATAAAAAGAAAATTACCGTAGCTTGTCTGAAGAAAATCTTCACAGTTAACAAGTGATTTTATTCTGTTGGAGGAAATGAAGTAAAATATTAGAAAGGTTTTTAGTTATTCTGAAAGACTGTGTTTAGAACTTAAAATATTTAATATTACAAACTAAAGTTAAGGCACAATATCCAAAATTTTTTAAAAAATCAGAGAGTCGGAATATTGATTAATGCTATTATAATGGTAAGACTGATAAACACTAAATACTGGGAAGAGTTCTCAAAAGCCTAAATATAGAGAATGGTATATTGTGATACAGCTTTCCTAAATAAAGTAATTTGGACAATGTGGGTGAAATGGGATGGATAATAAAAATATTTGCAGAATTTCAAGCTGGAACATTGGGCACTCTCAATACTTTACACTACATTTTCCCTAATTGTTTATGTTTGTTTCTGCTGGCTTGGGCTTCTGGAAATTGATGTTCAAAATATCTGGAGGGGCAAAAGTTTCCTATCACTTTATTATTCAAAAGTAGTGTGTAAGGCAAGGATATCTGTTTTCATTGCTATAGCGGTAAGATATATCTTGTTTTTATTATATTTGTCACTTCGGCTTTATAGTGTACTGACTAAATATAATCTTTAATTTTTAAAACATTTGAAAATATGGCACATGAGAAGTAGTGTATCAGTGACCGCCAGTGGTGTCTATGTTGGGAGTACAATGAATTTGATTCAGGTTTTATGTCAGCTTTAAAGGAGTTATTCAGGGTGCTGAACTTTATCACTTAAATAATTTCATCACTTTGGATAGATCCTTTAAAGTTATTAAGAAAACCAAGGAAGAGTTTTCTATGGCTACATCTACACAGCAGAATAAATCCAGTTTGATATAACTTTAACTGCCATGGCTCAATACTATGGAATTCTGGGATTTGTAGTTTTGTGAGACATTTAGCCTTCTCTGTCAGAGAGCTCTGGTGTCATAACAAACTACAAATCACAGGATTCCATAGGATGGAGCCATGACAGTTAAAGTAGTATCAAATTGCAATAATTCTGCAGTGTGGCAGCAGCTTATGCCAATGACTTGGAAGCCATTAACTGTTACTGTGGGATTCAAAAGAACAAGGAAGCTATGGCTGCAGTTTCACATCTTGGTTTCAAAGAACCAGCCAGACCTTTGGTTATCTGTGAGTAAACCCCGCTGAATCTTACTTTTGAGTAGACATGTATAGGACTATGTGGTTAATAATGGTTTTTAAAACAATTAGACTATTTTATGCTTTCCAATGCACATTACAACTGTCTCAAACTCAATTTTGTTCTTGTCTGTTGCTGCTATTACTTGTTGTTACTTTGCTGACTTCGGTGCAACACTTCATAGTTTGCGTAGAATTTAGCTCTTTGCTTGTAGTGGCTGGTCATCACAGGACAGAAGATGCTGTGATGGGGAGAAGAGAGGGTGAAACCGTGACAAATCAGCTAATAAAATAATCAGGACTGTGTAAATAGTCAATTTAATTTTTAAAAGTATATTCATTTCTGATTTACTTACTATTATTTTGGTGCTATTACAGCAAAAGCATCAACTTTATGTAACTCATGGCTATCCGTATCAGAAAGGAGGGAACAGATTTTCATAGGCTACTTCCTAGTAGACATTCCATTGAGAATTTTGGCTAAATCTTATCTTGATGAAGAATATAAGGAGCAGTACAATAAATAATAAACAAGGTCCTTTGATATAGTTAGACCACAAATACATCAGTTTGTGGGAGTCATCACATACCTTCCCATCAAATAAGCAGATGCCTTTAATCTTTTGGGAAGGACCGCCTTCTCCCGTATAATCCTCCCCGCGCCCTCCGGTCCT